TCAGAATTGTCAACTGTAGAAACCAAAGCCACGTGCTGAGTAGGACCCTTACTGCGGGTAGCCATCACATGAGACTGGGGCAAAGCCGCCCTAGCGGCACGGCGCGACCGGCCACACACAGGAGCCGTGACCGTGCGCTCACTAGACGCAGAAACACCTGCAACAACATCAGAATCAGACACGGGTGACTCAACAACGTCATCAACCACAGTGGGGCGAGCAACTGGAACGGGGGCAACACCCCATGGTACCTCCGGAGCCGGACCTGAAACCCGCGAATCAAAAGAGGAAGCAAACGGAAATACAGACTCATCAAACCGCACGTGACGACAGATGAAAACCTTATTAGTGATGATATCCAGACAACGATAGCCACGAAACGAATCCGGATACCCCAAAAAAACACAAGGAGCAGACCGATACTGAAGTTTGTTACGGTTATACGGACGAAGCAACGGAAAACAGAGACAACCAAACACACGCAGAAAGAAGTATGACGGTGGAGAACGGTGTAAACGCAAATGAGGAGACTCATTTCCCAAAACACGGGTAGGCATTTTGTTGATTAGATATACAGCGGTCTCAAACGCATAATCCCAAAAACGAGTAGGGACAGACGCATGAGCCATTAAGGCCAACCCAGTCTCAACGACATGCCTATGCCGACGCTCCACACTACCGTTCTGTTCATGCGTATACGCACAGGACTGCCTGTGACGAATACCCAGAGACAAGAACGTAGAGTGGAGCTTCTTGTACTCTCCCCCTAAATCAGACTGTATGGAAATAATTTTGCGGGAGAATGACCGCTCAACAAGTGACCGAAACCGCTCAAAGATAGAATAAATGTCAGTTTTAACGCGCATAGGATAAAACCAAACATATCGAGTAAAGTCATCAACAAACAGAACAAAATAACGGTACCCATTTCTGGACACAACAGGCACAGGGCCCCAAATATCCGTATAAATTAATTGCAAAACATGAGTACTAGACGAAGTAACACGGGGTAAAGGGAATTGGGAAGATTTCCCTAATTGACAAGCAGAACAAATGTTTGACAAACTACTAGAATTAAACGAACTAACACCAGACAATTGCAAAACTTGGCGCAAAACACGAGCATGTGGATGACCAAGCCGCAAGTGCCAAACAGACGAAGACGCACGAGCAACATACGCAGTAGGCGCGGAACACGAAGATGGCCAAGAATATAACCCCCCGGAAGCATGTCCCTTAAAAAGTACCTCCCTGGTCAAACGATCCTTCACAAAAAAACAAGACGGATGAAATTCAAAAAAGACGTTATTATCTTTAGCGAATTTCTGAACAGACAACAACGAAGACGAAAGACCGGGGACATGCAACACATTATTTAAAGAAAACAATTTAGAAGACGAAGCTATCGAAGTGGAACCAACACTAAATATGGGCAAACCTGCACCGTTGCCGACTCGCAGAGTATCGGCCACCTTAACAGAGTTGTCTGATTATTTGGTGTTGCAGGAGTTCATCTGTGCTGATGATGGTGGTGCTTCGGTGGCTATGGCAGCGAGGCGAGGTCGCGGTGGTTGGGGGACTGGCGGTCAGTCACGCGGCAGTGGTGATTTCGGTGGTGGCAGTCGTGGGCGCGGCGGACGGGGACGTGGCAGAGGGCGCTCCCAGGCAGTGCGCTGTCAGCTCTGCAATAGCCAAGGCCACACTGCCCTCTCTTGTTGTCGGTTGAGCCAGTATGTTTCTTCTCCGAGTCCTCAGGCGCATATGGCTTACTCGGCGGGTGATGGCGGTTCGGACGGGCCGCATCAATGGTTCCCAGACACCGGGGCTACGAACCATGTCACTCCCGATGCGTCCGTACTTTGTTCGGCTACTCCGTATGATGGTCCCGATACTCTGCGAGTAGGAGCAGGCTCGGTAACAGTCCGTTCTGTAGAGTCACGAACATAACTGTCATCATTGAGACCTGCCATGAAAAAAATCTGGACAAAACTGATACCAGATGAGGATTAGATTATCAGAAGTAACATAACAGAAGGTCTGTACAATAGAGATATAGAAGTAAGAGGAAGAGTCCTAGTAGACTACAACTAGCAGTCCTAACAAAGTGAGCCAGGATCATAGTAAAAATTTACAATACCAATTAACAACCGTACCGGTCATACATGATATCATTATAAATACCATGCATAATTATATTATATATTATCGATAATAATTTATATATAATGATACTTTATGTAATGATTGACATTGATGTTAATTGATACTTTATAATTTTCCACATGCATAACACAAAATATATACAATAACAATATTGCTTGTCACTCTTTTATCAAATAAATGTTTTCAATTATTTTGTTGGTAGCATTTTTTTTACATAATTAATTGATATTCATTCTACTAATTACCAAAATTTGAAGTATATATGACAATGAAACTCAATCACGAATTAAAAAACCAATTTTAAGATTATTTTTTCCAATTTCAAAACTAATCTTGAATTAGCAAATATACATCTTAAAAGTGTAAATAAATAATAAAAATACATAATAACAAACTAATTAATTTTTTGATTTATTTCTTTTTATTTGGTGAATTTGAACTTCAATGTATGTTTTAGGCTTATATTTAATAAATACATAGTAAAATTTTGTAAAAGAAAATTTGAGGGAGCTGAGGTCAAAAGAGAATTTTTATTCCTAACTAATAATTCACCCGCGCGATGCACGGATAAAAATTATGTTATTATAAATATAAATAAAAAATAGAAAAACTAAAATATTTTAAATTATTTAATATAATAATATTTTTGAGCTTCCATTGGTCAAGTATTTATTATTTTTATAGAATACAAAATTACAATTAAAATTAAAATTATAATTATAATTATAATTTTGTATGGTTAATATAATATCTGATTTTGTGCATATTCAAATAAACTTATAGAGATAATTTACATAATTACATTGATTTATTCTTAATTGTATTTCATCTATATTATAATTTTCACAATACAAATAATAACTAAGATAATTACATTTGGAAAGCAAATTTCAAATTTTGTATGTGTAAATTTAAACTCTAACTGAACACATGTTTTATATGATTATATAATATATAGCTATTTTATTTTTCAAAAGTATATTTTTTATATGATTATATAATATATATAGCTATTCTATTTTTTAAATGTTGTGTTTTTTTTTTTTTTTATAATAAAGGATGTTGTGGCATTAATTGTAACATTAATTATTTCCCAAACCATATAGTTTTATTATATAAAGGATGTAATAATATATATTTAAATATTTATCAAAATTTCTAGATTAGGGTGGGGGGGGGGGGGGGGGGGGTCAAGGCCCCCCACAGTCCCCACGTACCTCCGCCCTTGCCTAAACACACATATGAATCAAATGAGGAATACTTTATTTGAATAAAAATAAAAATGAAAAGCAAAATAAACTTAAATGTATTGTGAAAATAAGAACAATTAAACACTTATCAATCAACCAGGACTATGTGGTCTAATGGTACTCGGGTTGGACTTCCATTTGGAAGGTTGTGAGTTCAAGCCTCAGTGGAGGCATTATTAGCTCTTTGTGTTTCAATAGGTTGAGAAAGTATATGAACAGATACTACAATGTAATAGAGCTAGTAGCATTCAAAAAAAAAAAAAAAAACACTTATCAACAAGTTAGCCCTAAATAGCTCCATGATGGAGCAAGTTAATGCTGAAAAGTTTTTGTCTACGAAGAAGTAGGGTTTACGAGTTGGGGCAACCCATGAGCTACTCCTTAAAAATAATAAAAAAATAAAAAGAGAAAACTTAAGAGTTAACTCAAAACAAATAAAAAAAAACTAATCCAACGTTTGATTACAATGAGAGAATTATGGGAAGGGGAATTGCATTTCCATAAGAGATAAATAAAATAGAAATTCAAATTCTATTATTTGATTGGTGGAAATATTTTTTTTTTGAATGTTACTGGCCCTATCCACTGAGGCTCGAATTCATAACCTTCTAAATGGAAGTCCAACCCGAGTACCATTAGACCACATAGTCTTGGTGATTGGTGGAAATATAATTATTAGGAATTTCAATTCTAGTTTAGGGTATACATGCATGGAAATTGAAAATAAATAGTGAAAAATGCAAAGTAGGCCAAAACGTTTAGGAAAAAAGAAAAATATGAAAAAAAAAATTATAATACGAAGGCGAAAGAAGAAAAATACAAAAAAAAAAACTAATAAAAAATTTTATGTCAGCAATATTATTACCGGTAACCTGTAGGAAACCTATGAAAAGTTCTAGACGAAAAAAAATTATAGTTTATGACTCTAAATATCACTTATTAAAGATCATGGTGCGGCATGAATAATCATGAATGGTTCAGGGTGCGGGGTGACACTTTAGCCTTTATTAATATAACAAATTAAAATGAAATAAATTTTATAATGACAAAGATGATGGTGGTGGTGGTGTTATAGAATCCAATGGGGCCATGTCTAAATGGACTATTTGCCTCATTTAAAGAGATCTTCTAGGGTTACAATTCTTGTAGAGTTACATTCTACTTCTATATATAGGGATCTTCATCCCTCATTGTAAACATAGTTACATATCATTGTAGCCTTACTCTGTTGAAATATTAATAAAATCTCTCATTCGGTATATTTTGTATCTCCATTATTATTGTTTATTTATTTATTTATTATTAACAACACCTTATTAACATGAAAAATGCTCTCAAAAAAATCTTTTGTGAATGGTATCTTTTTTCATATTTATTTGTTAATAACGTAAATGTGATTTCTGTTTTGATGTGATTTTTTGTATTCACTATGTGCTTTAATTGATTAAAGATGTCTCTGTAAATTTGCATTAATTAATTTGTCTTTGGAGCTTTTGGATAGGAGTCGTTATTATAAAGTGTAGTCAAATAAATCAAGAAAATAGTACACAATATTCAACTCGTTACCGGCCGTATGTAACACAATAGTGGGCAAAGGATAATATGGTAAAATTCAGAAGTAAATCATTATATATAACAAAATATTCAACTCCTTACCGGAACAATATTATAACAATTCCTATCCCATGAATATATTAACACATTACCATTTTCTAAACGCTAACAATTACTGCTTAATACAGTGACCTATAAATAATGCCACATGAATAAATATATATTCAATAAGATTTGAAGTCATAACTCATAACTTAAATGTCAAAGAGATCCTTTGTACCATAAAACTCAATTCTTGTTTCATCTCACAGAATAAGATTAATTCGATCCAAACTCCATTCATCCCGATGGTTTTGAGCAAGATCAAACCTAAATACTTCAGGATCAAGAAATCTGTCTTTTTACCGTTAAACTCAAATTAAGCAGAGGATCGGAGTCGAATTTGAATTAGTCTTATAGTGATCGGTGAGGATATACTAGCAGATGAGCCAAACCCTAGCTAGCGTAGTTAGCTAGAAAAGTGGCATCTCACCAAAAACTGCATTGAGTTTGGACGGTTTGAAAGGAAACACTGCAGCAGGCAATTCACAAAAATCTTCAACAAACCCATCCATAATTCCAAAACCACCTCCATATACTTGATGTTCATCATCTTCCTTCTCGCCCTTCATCCTATCAAGGTGACTCCTCATCATCATCTTCATCCGCTCCGGCGGCGATTCCACGTTGGTCGTCTTAGAGCTGCAGCCATCGCCGGCGGCGTGCTTGCCGGTGAGCCTTTGCACGAGATCACGAAAGTTCTCCACGTCTGTCTTGATGATCTCCGGTGCAATAATGTGAATAATTCGTATCTTGGGCTGCGACGACGACGACTTGCCGCAGTTATGCGAGTTCCTGTGCATGGATGATAGCTTTGATGACAACGACTTCATCCCTTGATCTGCACCTTCCAATGGAAGTTTATATAATAATGGTGAAACAGATCTAGACCTACACAATTGGGCGTGATTTGGAGAAGAAGATGGGGTATGGTTATATATAGGAAGAGGGAAGGGAGTTTGTTGGGAGTTAGAAAGTCTTATTTTCAGCTGGCGTGCCTTTTGGAAGCAAGAATGGGATCGGATGGCTATAATATAATAACAGCAATTTTGTCCAAGAAAATTGATCAATACATAAATCCCACCAATATGTTAAGTGTGGTTTGCATGATGAGTTTTTGAAAGCCACCCAATAAATGACTGTATTAATGGAGCAAAGCTGCAATAGAGTTAGGAGAGATTGCATCCTATAACATAAACTGGTCCTGAGTAAAAGCTAACGAAGCTAAAACATGTGCAGACGAATTAAGCTGTCTAGAAATATAACTTAATGAGCAATAAGTAAACGAAGTCACCATCCTCCTGCATTGATCTACTGTGACCCCAACATAAGACATTATAGTCGTTGACACCTGACGCATGACATTTCTGAGCTGTAAGCAATCGGTTAGTATGTCCACATCCACTACATTCCTCTCGAGCAACCAGGATAAAGCCTCCTTACAAGCTAAGGCTTCCGCCATAAAAGGCGAGAAACAAGTTAGTTGGCGATCTTCCATTTCGCGCCGACATAAAGGTCCCGTCTGGCATGATGAGTTAATACTCAATTTAATCATCTATTTTATTGATTTAGTCTTAAATGACTTTTTATGTTTAATTAGGTTCTCGACTTTGATGATTTTACCTAATTGAGTCATCATCAGTTATGATAGCTTGGTAATTTCACATCTATTAATATCTATTTTTTGTTATCAACTATAGTAGTTTTACCATAATCTTGGACTATAGTGGTTTTATCCAATTTAGTGTTCAACTATAGTGATTTTACCCAATTTAATAATTGACTATAATAATTTTTCTCGATTTAATTTTTGATTCTAATAGCTGAGGACTCAATTGGGTAAAACCATCAAAATCAAGAACTTAATTAAACACAAAAAGTGATTTAGAACTAAATTGAAAGAAATTAATATAGTCGAAGACTAAATTATATAATAACTCATTTTCCTTTTTACAATATCATAAAATGATTATATTCTCATATTTTATAGCATTGTTATTGTTTGACGGAAGTTTAAATAAACAAAGTCAATATATTTCTATAAAAACATGTTGCTGATTGTTACAGAAATATAAAAAATAAAATTATATTTTCGTACTTAGCATTTGATTTGATAATTGATATTACAATTTTTGAAATATTAATAAACATTTTATCCTAATATTTTTTATTTCTATTTTTATTTATTTTTTTATTTTTTAACAAAGAAGTTTTCTATTGGAGCGTTTTTTTTAAACAGTATATGGCACTCGTACCTATAAATCCATAGATCCTTGCTGTCCAAGAAGCTAGCCCGTATAGATAACACCAAGTGTCATTAATATATAATTGTACATGTTGTCAATACACCAATTATTGTTTAAATCATAAATCCAATCCAATGATTAATTAATAATTTGTCAACCCTTATTTTTTCTTTTATTTTCACCAACATTTATTATTTCTTCTCTCAAAAGGGATTAATGCTGGTGTTTTTTTTTCCCTTTTTACGAATATTTATTATTTTTTCTCCCAAAAGTGATTAATGTCGGTGTGCAAAATTAAAGGATCTGTTTACTTTATTCAAAATATCTATATTGCTGCTGATGAGTTTTTAACATCTATCTATATTATCAAATACTTTCTTTTGAACTAGTGAGTTAAACCCGTGCGATCAACGTTATTATTTCTTTTGATACTAGATGGTGATGAGATTTAATTTAAATTTACTATTTGAATAAATTAAAGGTGAAAATTACTAACGAATATTCTATAAACCCCCAACATGTAATAATATATACAATTATACATAGGGAAGATAATGGTACATTATCAAGTATTTTGTATTGAATTTCATACTATCCAATGTTGGATTCATTATATTATTTGATTACCTTGTTTTAGGGTTTCAACTAATTTAATTAATATGAAATGTGGCAACACTTATTACAAATGCTATCATTATATATTATGAATAATATTTTTCATACGTATAGTATATAGATATTCTTGGGAAGAATATTAATGGTTATCCGTGTATAATTAAAATGTGTGTTTCATCTCAATTAAAATTTTTAATTTATAATAAGAGATGCACGTTTAATAATTGATATATTTCATCTTTGATACACCTTGTTTTAATATAAAATTGAAAGAGTTAATTCCACCAGAGGTTCCTTATTTTTTTGTGGCAATTTCAAATTTAGTCCCTGATTATCGTTTTTGTCATTTAACATCCCAAACTATTATTTTTTGGACAATTTTAGTTTTTCTCATGACTTTTCATATTTTTAATAAATGTATTTTTGTCTCTTCATATTTTTCTTTTGTTATTTTTAATTTCAGATTTCAACTGGTTTAATTGGTTTATGACTTTACTATAAACCGGTTGAAAAGTATGGTTACTAAAAATCAGTGGTTACCTAAAGTTCTAAACCAACCAGTTGAAATCGAAAAAATAATAAAAGAAAAATATAAAAAGATAAAAATGTCCTTATTAAAAATAGAAAAAGTCATAAGAAAGACTAAAAAATCCAAAAAATAATAGTCGTTAAATAACAAAAATAATAGTCTAAGATTAAATTTAAAATTACCACAAAAACAAAAGACCTTTGATAAAAATAACTCAAATTGAAATATATACTCCATCTCAATTAACAATTTAAATTTTTACTAAAAATACACATTTAATGTTTATCCTAAACCTGTATTGTGTATGTCAGAAATGATGATGATGATGGACGAGTTGCGATTTAGCTTTCGGATGATGACGCACCATATAATTTAATCATAAATTAATTAAGTCAAGTCAATACTAATAATTATAATGGTTTAATTGACCACTTGTCCAATTCATGTTTTTTGAAAAATTTCAATTTGCGGATTGCATAGCTAGCATAAATAATAAATTTCATATTGATCAAGTAGACAAATAGTTGACGATATTTTAATTGAAACCACCGCCACAATAGTGATAAGTCTTCTGCGCCAGAGTCAACTTGAACATGGCACAATGAAATTAAACGGGGAAAAATTTAATAATAAACACACATTCTCCATGCTCTTATCTCCTTAACATTTTTTTTTTTTCCTTAGGGTATGTTTTTTAAATGCAAAGGAAGTGATGAAATAAATTAAAATGGGTATATATTAACCAATTTCAAATAATAAGATTGAAATAATGTAAAGAATAAAAGAATGTTTGTGTGAAAGAAGAATGGTGTTAGAATAGGATAAAGAGCATGTCCTCGATAAGATAAGGTTCTACACTATTTAAACTAGTTCTTCTAATCACTTTCCCCTCGCATAAGATTTCCCGCAACACTAGTGGAGAATTGACCAAAAAATACACTAGTAGGCTTCTTTAGTTACACCTAAAGATTCCTAAAGTAAGAAAAAATGGGGTGACATTTTTCTAAACATTTTAAAAACTTTATGCGTCTCTACTAGTACAGTAAAGACGCGTATTTCTATTTTATTTTTATACAAAGACAATACGTCATTACCGTCAATGTAGAGACGCATATTCTTATACGTACTTTTTGATATTATACGCTTCTTTACTACTTGTGTAATGAAGCATATTGTATGTCTATTAAAAAATTTATATAATACGCATCTTTACTAGATAGTATAGACGCACATTATTGTTGTTTTTCTTTAAAATTTATTACTATACCTTCTTTACATAGTAAAGAAGAATATTGTATGTGTATTATAAAAATCATATTTTCAATGCTAAGTGATTTATTCTCCTTTATTATTTTGCAGTTGGTAATTTTGAAAAGCACACATCAACCGTGCAATTGCAATACCGAGGTTATTGTTATTGTTATTGTTATTATTATTATTATTATTATTATTATTATTATTATTATTATTATTATTATTATTATTATTATTATTATGTCTTTGATTGGTTAAAAGTGTCACTTTGCATTTATATTTCCTTTATATAAGAATGCGGGTAATATTGTATTCATTTGGTTGATTCCTTTTTCATCCACACACACACACACACAAATATATATATATATATATATATATATATATATATATATATATATATATATATATATATATATATATATTGTTTCTGAAATATGAAGCCTTTTGCTATTATTGTACATTGTTCATATTCTTTGCTCCTTTTTTTTTTTTTTTTTTTTTTCATATAATTCATGTTCTTTATTAATTATCTAACTTGCTTTTGACTGGTATATATGTTAGGATCATTTGTTTAAGATTTTGATGATACCAAATAATAGGATTTTTAATTTAGACCTCAATTTATTTTATTTTCTAGACTTAGAATATTTCTGCTCAACATTCGTAACCAACCGAATGGTACCTCGGATAGTAACAATTCTTTCCATCCGAATGATAACTCGAGAGGACAGTCTCAACATTATACTCGAAGAGTAACCCGAGTGGTTAACTTACGAGTGGTCAGAGCTAAAGACTAAAAGATTGAAGAGTATAAGATATCAAGTCCGAAATGTTGTAAAGACCGAGAGGTGGAAGGTCTATGTAACACCCCCATTTCCAAACCAAAAATGACAAATGGATACAATCAAAGTTAGGGAAAGCAACCAACAACAAAAAGACCCCAACCTAAGCTGAATACACCACAAAGACAAGGTATTACAATATACTTTTCGAAGTGTTGCAAGACTAAATGGTAAATTCAACCATTCGTAACCGAAGAGTTGCAAAGGTTAAAGATAGGAAGGACCTACCTTTCGAGGAGTTAAGGGACGAGTGGTAAGGTCAACCATTCGTATCGGAGAGGACCTAAGGCTTGAGGCGTTAACCTAGTTAACTACTTAATAGGACTTCTCAAGACATTCTCTAAGTTGTACAGTCAGAAATCTTAAAAGATGAGCGAATATGTCCAAGGCAATGTGAGCATAGGAATATATCCCAAGGCAGATTTTTCCATTAAATGCCCTGGAAAATCTGACATGCTCACCAATTCTTTGGATTACCCGTCGGTCTCTACCT